ACAAACAGAATACATTAGAAGATATGTAGGAGGTTAGGGCGCGGCCGAGCATTTAGCTTAAGTGATTTGCCAAGAAATATACCTCAATCGACTGTAGATGGTTACAACTGTAAAATGTTTTTGTTACTAAACTCAATATTTTTGAGACAAGGCCGCGCCCTCACTCAATTATATAATTCAAGGTGTAACAAAATGTTAACTTTTTGAATTGTGCGCTTATTTACGCTGAATCAGTAATTTAATATTAAGTATACGTTCAAGGACAGTGCGGTTGCCCCGAGGGGAACTGTCTCCTTGTTAGAGAGGATAGCTAGTGACGTCCCCTCTACAGTTTGCTTGTATTTTTGGAATATTTACATCGCAAGTGTAATCGTTACCAGCCAACATTTACACGTCGCTCCGTAATATTGTACATTTACGGACTGTACATAAATGCACTTAACCTTAATATGTAAACAGTGAATAAAAGCATAAAAAACTACAAAACCCAATATTTGTTAAATGTGCCTTACACGGGTTTAGTTTATTTGCCGCAACATTTTATTAGCAAAAATTATAATGTATTTCATGTAGATATTTTTCGTTTTGCTATTTTAAGAAGTGTCATGTATTTAAAAGACTTTCAAACATTTTTTGTATCATCAATGTTCACTATGTACAAACGATAGAATAATTTCAGGCAACTATAAAAGCAATGGAAGTGCTAATAATATTTAAAACCTGGTTCCTTGTTAGAGTATAAGATATTTTTCATATGTTAGGGGTATTATGAAATAATAAAGCTGTAACTTTGGGAATATTTTTATTTATGTGCTTCTCAAACATTTCCACATGTGGTGGCCGGTGTTGGTGCTTGACTGTGGCTGCGTCACTTATTACATTTTTATAATACATTTCTTGCACAAAAAATATATGTATTATAGACAAACTTTGTACTAACATTTATTTCATGTTTTGTATGTTTGAAACACATTCCTTATAAAACAATGTGAAGATTTTGATTTATTATATTATATTAAGTAAACCTTAAGGCTTGTGTTTGTGCATTTCAAATTACTTTGTTTTGGTGTTTTAAATAAAACTGTACTTCTTAAATCTCTAAATATGAGTCATTTTATAAAACTGTAGATCACATTTTATGTTGTTTTTTATTTTTGACATATTTTATATAAACTATATCTAGCTAAATGGTTTTTTATTTTCATACCTCTAACACAGACATGGTGTAGTGATCAATCATGGCTCAGAGCCTTAGAACTATTTAACAAACATTAGTGATATGCATGCCTTTAAAAGTTTACAATTAATTTATTTGTATACAATATGATTATATAGATATTAATACAACTTAACATATAAACATTGAGGCTTTATATTCAATTGTCAAACATCAATTTTATTTAAATTAACATAACTATAAATAACTTGAAAAATTAAAAATATTTTACCCATAACATGAGACACAAATCTCATCTCCTTCAGATCTGAAAAAAAAAATTGTAAGAGGATAAAGTCTTGACAACCACATTACATAGAAACTACACAATATAATAATGCTTGTTTAATTTGTAAATGTCCAAACTGTACACAGGTGTTACATTTTGCTTTCCTGTTTGATAGATTTAAACTGTGGCCTAGAACTGAATGGATAGTGTCAATGTGGTATGCCATTATACCACCCCAAGGTTTTATTGATATTTAATTCAGTAGCAAATAGGTACATTACCCAATGAGAGAGCATTGTGAACAATGGTAGTTGTGACAGCGACAGCAGTAGTGCTGGCAGGCAGCGCACAGGGACCGCTCGCAGTATGTGCAGCCCACCTCCTCACACGCACCACAGCTGCAGTTACGCACATGTAAAGGCATGTCTGCAATCTGTTAATATTAAGGAACTTCTGTTAACTTTCTACACATACAGGTTGAAAACAATTTATTTTATGCCTTAAATTTGAAGGAATTTTCAGGAATTAATATAAATTTGGCTTCAAGAACATACAATTCATGATAGACAAGTTACCTTATGCTCAGAAGGGAGAAGTAATCCATCTTTTCCAATGACAAGTTGCTTCATTCTGTCTTTTTTATTTGTTGCACTGTTTTCTTGATTGTTGATGATGTCTTGAGTTGACTTTTTGGCTCCTCGGAATAGAAGTTCTAACGTCTTTTCTACAAAAGTAGTTGATACATAATGACAATATTGGACACATGATCAACAAACTACCCACAAGTTGATGGTTTAAAATTATCTGTCTTAAAATACTACTATATCACTATTTTACATGTAACGTCTTTACTTATTATAAGAATTTAAATAAAACACTATTAATTACTATAATTAAATCCATTGGTATCCTCGACAGGAAACTGATAAATTAAATTAATAAATTTTATTATTCAATTAATATAATATATACTTATCAAAAACAAACATACTTAAGATCTAGATCTAGATTATTTATTTAAATATGTTTACCATACACTTCTTGAAGTCTGTCTTCATTGTTATTGAACTGCTTAAGCCCCAGGTGCACCTTCCTTTGAGGCATGAAGTCTTCGACAAATGGGTTTGATCTTTTAGTAGCCATGACACTTTAATTTGTTAATTAGGGAATTACTCAAATAATTTTTCCAAAATCGTATTGTGTAATAAAAAAATTACAAAGTATTGAAAACGAACGAATTGCAAGGAAAAAATGTGAAATCAGTGACATTTCTGTTTTGGTTCCGTTTAATCTTTGACTAATGTTTAGGGTTGTCATATAAAACACTATGAATTCTACTGCATGAATTATCATCATCATCAACTTGCCCTTGTCCCTACGGAAGGTCGCAAATGACCATATAATTCTTCTTCACCACGATTGAAACGACGTTACACGACTTTGTAAGCGGACGTCGTTGTAGCGTTCTGGTTAATAAATTTTATGTCTCTTCATTTCAATGAGACAGAAACAATCCAGGAAGATAAAACATTAAAACTCTTAGAACAAATGGAGCATTATTTATTAATTCTTTGGTGTACAGATTTGACTTTTCGCATGGACATTTTCTTCTTTGTGGCTACAATTATAAATACTTTAAGTCTTTAAAACAGTGTTGCGTATTTATTGTTTTTCCGAACTTTATCAAGGATTAATGAATTCGGCGAAACAGGCTGTGGATATCTTGGTACTACCTTATACCAATTTTCCCCCGATAGTGATGAGTCGTATTGCCACCAACCAAACTTAAAATTAAAAGTATGCTAAAACATCTGTGTTATTCTTAACAAAGATATAAGACAATATACTTATAAAGATAACACCCACCCCATGCGAAGACGTGGGAGGATATCTGTACATATCACATGGACCTAGGGGTTTTATCACACCTCTTTTTTTCATATCCAAAAACCGTTGAAATGAACCGTATGCAAAACCATTTAACCCTCGATGATTATCTTTGTCGCCACATCTCATTGACTGCAATATAAAGGTAGTGAATTCATTAAAGAAAGGTTTTAAATGGATATCAGAGGCACTTATACTTAGGTTAGAGAAAAAACATTTAGGTATACCACTACTTTCCAAACAACAGAAAAGTCACAAAAAACGTAAATATTAATCGTTAAGGTGTATTTAAAAAAATTACAAGTTTTTTTAACAACTCCTTAACTTCGATTTCCGTCATAGGTTCATGATAATCTTTTTTCAATATATCTTTCATAAAAATTTGTGGCCCACACATTGTATATCCAAAGAATTCCATTCCTTCAATGAAAAATACTACCTAAAATAACCAAAATTATAAATTAGTAAATATAAAAAAGAGTCACAAGAAAACTTAATTGAAAAATGCAAAATTGCAAAAATTTTATATGAAATGTCCCCCGTCAAACAGGTATCAAAAATGTGTCATAAATAATTTATTTATGACACTTATTGTTTTTTAATTCGCTTATTTCATAAAAAACTGACTTTTGCAAGTTTACTGTTTATCCCATAATTTTAAATAATTATTACACAATACTTCAAAAAAAACGATACGTCTTAAAATGCAATCGGAAAAATGATTTTATAAGACGGTGTGATCAGAAACGTCAATCATATTTGACATGGCTACACTGCCAACAGGGCACCTTCGATCGATGGGTTGTTGTCAACAAATTTTTACTCAAATACATTAAAAATATAAAAATAAATTCTACCATAATAGCTTAAATTGGCAATTTTAAAATAGAATTACGAAAAAATACACGTCTCACTAAAATTCGCGATATAAATATTTCACAAGTGATAGTGAAAGTATTGCATCGTTAGTTCTATGATAGTGACGAGGCTGTTTGTGCAGCTAGAAGCATATGTGCGTGAATATTTCGCGAATGTTACGTAAGCAGCGGTAGCGAAGTATGTCGTGGATGAAGCGGGCGCAGGGCGGCGCGCCGCCGCCCGCCTCGGACCAGACGCAGTACGGCGCGCCCCAGGTGAGCAGGTTATGTCGTCGGTCGCCCTTCGCCACTCGCCACCGATGTAAACAATGACGTGGACCGACAACCGAACACCAGTTCAATCATATTAATAAACACTATTGTTGTTTTTTTATTATATATTATATTACGATCTACTTGTGCGAGATGTTTTGCCCACTTGTGTAGTAGCTGTTGATGTTGTGTCATCATAATATAAGTTAAGTGAAAGTTTAGTTATATAGTTACTCAACATGTCAATTGGTAAATTTCAGCCTTACGGGAATCAACACAATATGTACCCAAACTATCAGGGGACTCCATCTAACATAACACATCAACAACAACAGTACTGGCAGCAGCAGC